CTGGCCTGGTGTGGGTGGGCACGGGAGGGTGGCACCCGTGCCCAGCAGCTCCTGTGCGGCTGGGGTGCCCAAGAAGTTCAGGGACAGGACTGGAGTTCAAGGGCCCGGGGCTCACTGTCCCCGTGCTCCTGCCGGGGACTGCCTGCCTCGGTGCCCCCAGCCTGCTCCTGAGAGGCAGGCTGGGAGGAGCTCCGAAGGTGGGGGCCGAGATGAGTGTGCTGCGGGGGAGCTGAGTGCGGCCATGGGACGGGTCGTGCTGCTGCTGGGAGGTGGGCGCTGGCTCCACTGCGAGGCCGTGTGGGGTGTGTTCGCATGTGGTGTGTGCTGGACCTCACCTGCTCTGTCTGGAGTTTGGTTTGGGAGGAGCAGAAACCACAAGCCGCTGTAAGTAGTGTGAGTGCTACGCTGGCTGTGTAATTGGAGTGTGGACCTGTGCATCGACGCCTGTTTCATGTTGACGTGCTGTGGACACTGGTGGGTTTCGGCTGTTGATGTGTGGGGGCAGCGAGTGTGTGTTGGGCTGTGGGGAGCACTGTGTACTATGGAGGATAGCGCACGCATTGTGGTGTTGGTACGTCTGTGTTGGAGTATGTGTGTTGGGAGAGAGATGTGTTAGGCTGTGGGAATGTGGGCTTAGCATATGGGAGTTCTGTGTGTTATCAGGTTCCTGCAGATTGGGGGAGTCCCATGGGCTAGTGTAAATAATGTAGTATTTGCTCAATCATTCTACAAACATTTCCTGAGGGCATATTACATGCTCGGTACTCTGCTAGGCACTGAGGGTGCAATGGTGAGCAGCAGCGGGTATGGTTCTCCCTCTCTGGTAACTTATTGTTTATGTGGGGGCAGGTGAGAGGAGTGGGGAACAGGGAGTGTGTTCTGGGCCTGGATGGGTGTGTGTGGGGGCAGCTTTGGGCTGAGGGCATGTGAGTGTATCTGCAGGTGGCTGCGTTGGGAGGGTGTATGTGCCAGATGGAAGACTGGGCAGGTTGAGGGTGTGGGTGTGGACATGGTTGGGGATGTGGGGGACTGGGTGTGTGAATATGTAGTGAGGGTGTGTTGCAAATGTGGAAATGTGGGAGAGTGTATGCGTGTGTAAGGGATGTGATAGAAGTGTGTCTGAGGGTCAGGGTGTTTCAGTGATGGTGCTTGTGGGGGCGTCTGCGTGTGAGTGAGTGTGGCGGACTGGAAGGCACACAGGGGCTGGAGGGTTAGGGTCTGTGTGCTGTGCATTGGGAGGCTTCGGGGACCAGCAGCGTCTGATGACTGCTGGAGCTGCGCAGAGCGCCTCCTGCCACCTGAGGATGTGCCAGTTGTGTCCTGGTACCACTTGGGGTGGGCTATCTGCCCCCGGTGCTCCCTCCACCCCCCCGCCCCACATGGCAACACGGCCCCTGGCCTGAGCATGGCTGAGAAGGGCCTGGACACAGGGCACCCTGGGGGAAAGGTGGGGCCGTGGCCCCAAGGCTCCTACCTTCCTTTTCCTCTTCCTGATCTGAAGGGTGTCTGCTCAATGACAGGACACAGGAGGGGGCTGTTGGGCTGTGTTCCCCGTCTGGCTGCCATCTCTCCTTCCTGCCGTCCTGTTAATAAACAAAGGGGGCCTCAGCTACCTCTTTGAGTCAAAGCCAGGTCACTGCTGGCCACCTGGAGCCTGCAGGAGCCTGGCCCTGATGGAGGGGAGAGGGGAAGGTGTTTGCCCAGGCAGTAACTTGGGACCCAAGCTATCTGCATTATGAACCCCTCTGATATACGCCAGTGTATTCATGTACATGTACATGTACTCAGCATTCCTTGGCTGCTTCTCTCCTGGCCTACTGAACTCTGGGATGGTCTGGGTGCCCCAGAGATGGCTGGGTAGCTAGTGTCGGCAGCCTCTGCCTGTGGTGTGATGTTGGGCCCTGGGGTGGCAGATGAGTGGGGGGAGACAGTCCTTGGAGCTGGCTGGGGCTGGCCTTACCAGCTCCACCTCCTGCAGGCTCTGAAGCGGAAGCCAGATTTGTTCCTGTGCGAACGGTTGGATGTCAAAGCTGTGTTCCAGTGTGGTAAGTATGGCCGGGTGCAGAGGTGGGCCTGGGACCCCCTCTCGAGGATCCTTAGGCCCATCTAATCTGCCTCTGCCTCTCCCACAGCTGTGCTGGCCCTCAAGTTCCCTGAGGCACCTACTGTCAAGGCCTCCTGTGGCTTCTTTGTGAGTGCCAGGCTGACCCCTGACGCCCCCCACCCCTACACCCAGCCTGCCCTGCCCAGGCCTCCAGAGGGTAGGGGTGTGGTGTACAGGTCTTGTCTCTGGGATGAGGGGCCAAGGAGCTGGGGCTGACGGGCCTCTCCTCTCCATCCTCTGCAGACAGAGCTCCTGCCTCGATGTGGGGAAGTAGAACCCGTGGGAAAGGTAGTACAGGAGGACGGCCGTGTGCTGCTCATAGCAGTGCTGGAGGTGAGGTGGGCAGATGGGGGCTTCCTGTGGGTGCGGTGGCCCTCACTGCTGTGGCAGCTGCCCTTTTGGGAACCTTGAGCCTTGGGTCCCCTAAACTCTCTAACTCTGTTTCTTCCTAATTTAAATGCCTGAAAGTTGTAAGAGTTGCTGGGAGGACCAGCTGGCTCTCAAAAAGCAGCATTCACCTGTCTGATGCAGTATGGCTGAGGAACTGTGAGGGGGTGGAACATGGCTTGGCACCTTTGCTGCAGAGGGGGCAAGGCCTGGTATACTGAGAACCCGTCTTCCTCAGGCCATTGGGGGCCAGGCCTCCCGCAGCCTCATGGACTGCTTTGCCGATATCCTGTTTGCTCTGAACAAGCACTGCTTCAGCCTCCTGAGCATGTGGATCAAGGAGGCATTGCAACCACCTGGTTTTCCCTCTGCCCGCCTCAGTCCTGAACAGAAGGACACCTTCAGCCATCAGATCCTTCGGTGAGCAGAGCCGGCGGCTCCTGGGCTCAGGTCTGGAAGAGGCGGTAGTGGTGGATGGTGCTAACTCGCTCTCCCTTCTCTCCTTCAGCGAGCGAGTGAACAAGAGGCGGGTGAAGGAGATGGTGAAGGAGTTCACACTGCTGTGCCGGGGCCTGCATGGCACAGATTACACAGCTGACTACTGAGGGGCATTCCTGCCCCACCCACACCTCCTCACGCCTCCCTGTACCCAAAGAGTAAACCTGGACCCTCACTGCACTGTTGTCTCTGCTTCCTTTCTGCTGCCACTGCCACCTAACTGGGTGGCCCCAGAAGGCCTGGGGGACAAATGGAAGGATGCTTGGACCCAGGCCTTGGTAGGAAGTGGTGGAGCCAACCTCTTGCTCCTAGGGTGGAAGGGGCACTGCCAGAGTCAGCTGCTCCTAGGCTGGAGCCATTCAGAGCACTGCCATCGCCCCTGGGGTGGGCTGGGGATCGCAGCAGTATCAGCCCCACACACCTTTCGTGAACGCATACATCTACTTAATCCACAATGTTGAGTACTGGATTCCTAGTTCTGTCTTGTGTTGTTCTGCCTAAACAAAGGCTGATGTAGTCCACAGCTGTCATGCCAAGCTAGGAGAATGGGACCAGTGAAGGAAGGCTGCATGGAGGAAGCTTCATCTCTGATGGGAATGGGAAGCTTCTGAAGTAGAGGACTTGGGACTCAGGCTGGAGGCCAGGGGAGGCCGGGTCCAGTTGGGAGGGAAGAACTGGAGAATGGCTTTGCGTCCCAGGATAGGTTTCTGGCGTGGGGTTATGGAGGCACTCAAACTTGCACGTGGTTGGGGAGAGGTGTAGAAAGTGGAACTGAGCATGCGTGGGAGGAGGTATTGCAGACCCCAGAAGAGGAGGAAGGCAGGACCTAGTATTCTCTGTGTACCTGAAATTCCCCCACTCTGTGGTACCTGACCAGCCCGCCTCGTTCAGGGCTTGGTCAGCACCAGGGACAGCTCCCGCCCTGTTGCTCTCCCTTTGCAGGGTTCCTTCCCTTACTGTCAGTCACAGTTCCCCCCGGCCTGCCTCTCAGGCGCCCCAGCCATCTCCTCAGTAAGACCTGAGGAACACGTCTGGGTTCTCCCCACTCCTTTCCTTGAGCCTGAGTCCCTTAGAAGTGATAGAACTGGTTACTTTTAGAGTCGTCCCCTTCCCCTGCTCTTTTCCCAAACTTTACACAAATTCTGTGTCCATTCTTCATCTCGCTCAATCTCTTCCCATGCCAGCCTTTCATGTGCCACCCCCTGAGGCCACTCTGTCCCCTGTACCCCATTCTCACCTTACTCTTGATTTCTCACTTAGTTCTCTTCCCCTACGACATGCTATCTCGTGTCTTCTCCCTCCTCTTCTCCCCCTCCCCCATGACCAGTGCAGCGCAGTACGCTAGGAAAATGAGCAGTCAAAAAGCCCAGCTTCTGAAATCAGACCTGGGTTTGTGCCAGACTTGCTGTGTCTTACTGGACATGTGGTTGGCTTCTTTGAACCTTGGTTTCCTCACCTGTAAACTGGGACAATTCTTACTCCAAAGACTAAACTCTAAGAATGTACTGCCTGGTGAACAGTAAGTGGTCAATGTTTGCCTGATTGACCGACTGGGATAATAGCAATACTTTTAGTGCACATGATATGCGAAGGATTACTTTGTAAGATTTTATGTCTAAATTGTTTTGACTCAGCAATCCAATTAGGAATACTATTGCTACAAGCCCCATTCTGCAAGTAAGGAAACAGCCATGGAGACAATAGAGTGGCTGAAACCGAAGTAGTTATTTTCGGGGAGCGGGTATTTCTGAGGGCACACAGCAGGCCGAACCTGAGAACTCCCAGCTCCTGGGGAGGAGGGCCGGGGGAACTACAACACCCATAAGGCTCCGCGCCTCCTCCTGAAGCACTTCCGATTAGCTTTGGGCTCTGAGGCCAGCCATTGGTTATGAGCCGTTTCGTGGGGCGGGTTGAAGGGCGGGAGCCGCTTTGGTTAACAATCGGTACAATTACTATCAGGCCTGCCTTACAAACCCGGAAGTAATAGCTGCAGAGCTGCGGTTGGCTCACGTGTCGTGAGGATCTGGGAGTTTGGGTGTGCGGAGGGATGGCCCACGGGTTGTGGACTGACTGATCCTTAACTCCCCGCCCTCACCAAACGACTCTGACCCATTGAGGGCTGGTTTTGAGGACGCGGGGACCGAGGGAGGTCCCTGCTGCCTCCTGCCAACCTAAGCTGTGCCTCATGGAGTCTGCATTCAGCAGTCCCGCAGAGGCAGCGCTGCAGCGGGAAGCGGGGTCCGCTGGGCTGCTCACTCCTCTTGAGGACCTGGACCGAGTATACGAACTGCAGCGAGTTGTGGGATTTGTCCGCGACCTGGGGTGTCAACGGGTGAGGGCAGGTTAGGGAGGAGTGGCTCACTTCTCTGGGGGTGGGTCTCCCAGAGGATCCAGATCTTGGAGTAATTTTGTGAGGGTGGCGGAGTGGGGGAGGTGCTCCTCTGGGAGGAGGGTCTTTGAAGGTTGGTTGGGTAGGGACTCCAGGAAGGTTTTCCCTGAAGAAACCGTGGGAAAGGAGATGCCGTTTCTGACTCTCTGATTTATGCTTACAGGTGGCCTTGCAGTTCCCTGACCAGCTATTGGGAGATGCTGGGGTTGTGGCTGCACGACTGGAGGAGTCCTCGGGGTCGAAGATGTTCATTCTGGGGGACACGGCCTATGGCAGGTGTGAACTTGAGCTTCAGGATGAAGTGTAGGGTAGACCTAGGGGTGCAGGGCTTGTGGTGTTTCCCTTTTATGATGGCATCTGCCCCTAAAGGCTGTGTTTCTTTTAGACGATGATTGATGACTGCCTTCCTAAGACTAGCTCCTCTCAGCGACGGTGTCTTTTTGTAATATCACCTTCTTCACTGATCACATTTCCCATTGATGACAGCAGCTCTTCCTGATGACACCCCTCTTAACTAATGGCTCTCCCCAACAGCTGCTGTGTGGATGTGCTGGGTGCTGAGCAAGCTGGAGCTCAGGCCCTCGTACATTTTGGCCCTGCCTGCTTAAGCCCCCCAGCCCGCCCGCTGCCGGTGGCCTTCGTCTTTGGTCAGCGTTCCGTGGCCTTGGAGCTCTGCGCCAAAGCCTTTGAGGCCCAGAACCCAGACCCGACAGCTCCGGTGGTGCTGCTGAGTGAGCCGGCCTGCGCCCACGCCCTGGGTGAGGGGTTTTGCCTGTGCATGCAGGGAGGGCGGGTCAGCTATGTGGTGCGTTATTCCTGCCTTTCAGCACACTCCCACAGAGTTCCCGATATGGCCTGGACCCCAGCTTTTGCTTTTTTTTTATTGTATTTTTTTGCCTTTGGTTTTGGGTCCCACTTGGTCTTCTGGGGAGTAGGGGAGCTCTTGCCTTGCCAGGCCCCAACCCCGCACCACCTCCTTCTTCCAGAGGCATTGGCCACTCTGCTGCGCCCACGGTACCTGGACCTGCTTGTCTCCAGCCCCGCTCTTCCCCTGCCGGACGGCTCCCTCAATTCAGAGCCTGAACCCCTGGAGCGTTTTGGGCGTCGCTTCCCCTTGGCCCCAGGGAGGCGTCTGGAAGAGTATGGTGCTTTCTATGTGGGAGGCTCTGGGGCCAGCTGTGACCCTGACCTCGATCCTGACCTGAGCCGGCTGCTCTTGGGTTGGACACCAGAACGACCCTTCTTCTCCTGCTGCCCAGACACTGGGAGGACTCGTGATGAAGGTGCCCGGGCTGGGCGGCTAAGGGCACGCAGACGATACCTGGTAGAGAGGGCCAGAGATGCTCATGTGGTGGGGCTGCTGGTGGGCACCCTGGGAGTGGCCCGACACCGGGAGGCACTGGCGCACTTGCGGAACCTGACACGGGCTGCCGGCAAGCGCAGCTATGTGTTAGCTCTGGGGCGGCCCACACCTCCCAAGCTTGCTAACTTCCCTGAGGTGGATGTCTTTGTGCTGTTGGCCTGTCCTCTTGGTGCCCTGGCTCCCCATCCTCCTGGTGGTTTCTTCCGGCCTGTATTGTCACCGTGTGAGTTGGAGGCTGCCTGCAACCCTGCCTGGCCATCTCTGGGCCTGGCTCCCCACCTCACGCACTACGCTGACTTACTGCCAGGTGAGTGGTGGGGCACTGCCTGAGCTGGAAACTCTTGGGGAATGGAATCAAGAGCCGGTATGGATCATCTTTCTCCTTCCTAGGCTCTCCTTTCCACGTGCCTCTCCCACCACCTGAATCGGAACTGTGGGACACACCAGATGTGTCACTCATTACTGGGGAGCTCCGACCCCCACCTGCCTGGAAGTCATCAAATGATCCTGCATGCTCCACCCTGACGCCGAGACCTCAGCTGGAGCTGGTTGAGAGCAGCCCGGCAGGTAAGTGTGCTGAATCTCCACTCCATCTGAACTCTTCCCCCAGATGCAGCCCACTGAGCCTCAGTCCTCTCCCTTTGCAGCCTCATTTCTTTGTTCGCGGAGCTGGCAAGGGCTGCAGCCTCAACTGGGTCAGACACCAGTGACAGAAGCCGTGAGTGGAAGACGAGGCATTGCCATCGCCTATGAGGATGAGGGAAGCAGCTGATACCATGTGGGGCCAGAGGCACAGATGGACTTAAGAACCACTGCTAACTGTTTCAGTCCTGGGCACTCAGGAGCTGCGGGCTGGGGTGCAAATATGGCCAAATCTAGGAACCACACCATGCCCAACCAGTCCTGAAAGTAGCATGGAAATGCCACCCAGAAACCCTGATCACAAGGATATGAATCTCTTAAGGGAGTAAGCCCCAGTTCCAGATGAACACGCACTTTGCCAAGAAGCACAACAAGAAGGGCCTGAAGATGGTGCAGGTCAACAGTGCCAAAGCCAGGAGCGCATGTGCTGAGGCTGTTGAGGACCTTGTAAAGCCCAAGGAGGTCAAGCCTACAAGCCCCAAAAATGATAACCACACACTAAATCCACTTGCCTATATCGCTCACTCCAAGCTTGGGAAACGTGCTCATGCCTGCATTGCCAAGGGTCTCAGGCTCTGCTGGCCAACATCCAAGGCCAAGGCTCAAACCAAGCCTCAGGCTGTGGCTACAGCTACGGCTCAGGCTCCTAAAGGTCCCCAGGCCCCTACGGTAGCTCCAGTCACAGTAGAGGCCTCTATCTGCCTATGTGAGTATGGAAAGGCTGGAGTGACCCCTGGGCTTCTGTCTACATGGAGCTGGTATCCTTCCATGCTTTTGTACAAATAAACCTGAGGCAGGATCTGTCCAAAAAAAAAAAAAAAAAATCACTGCTAAGACCTTTCAGTGTTCCCTGTAGCAACCTTTCCCTTCTACCAGGATCCTTGAAAGAGCCTGGCTGTGGGGAGCACAGACAGCCCCTCACCGGGGATAGGATCCAGCTCTGTCTTGTCCTGGCTTAGTAAATGTCTGTTGTTTGACTGACGGGGACTGATTTGGGGCTTTCCTGAAGCCTCTAGGCTGTAGATGGTCTAGACGAGGATTTCGCAACCTTGGTACAACTGACATTTGGGGCCAGATAAATCTTTGTTGTGAGGGGCTGTTCGTACATTGTAGCATGTTCAGCATCAGCCCTGGTCTCCACCCACTAGATGCTGGTGGCATACCAACTGTGATAACCAAAAATGTCTCCTGACATCGACAGATGTGCCTTGTGGGGGCAATACTGCCCCAAGCTGAGAAGCACCGGTCGACACTCGTGCCGTCCAGTATACCAGCCACTAGATACAGGTGGCTAATAAATGTAACTTCATTAAGATTAAAAACTCATTTTCCCAATCATAGTAGTTGTATTTCACTGCTCAGAGAGCCATACGGGAGGACAGCACGGCTGTGGACACTTCCGTCGTCACAGGAAGTCCTGTCAGCCACTGCTGGTCTGTACTGGCTCTGATGCGTTTCTCAGGGAGACCACAGCACCTTGAATAAACCAGATACCTCTGTTTCTTTCTCTTCACCAAACACTGCAGCTCCCGCACAGGCCCCGTGAGTGGAGATTTGAATCGTATTTGATTGGACTCCTGTCCTCACAGTGTAATTTGGAGGAGAGGTGGTGAAACAGGCAATTACCACACAGTGAGACGTTACTCTGTGTGAGGAGCGAAGCCCAACAGGGGCAGCTGGAGTCCGAAAGAAGCTTCCCAGAGGGGTGGTGCCTGAGCTGAACCTCTTGAAAGGAAAAAAAAAATTACCAGGATTGGGCTGGGTGGGGGGAAGAGGTGGAAAACTGTACTTGAACAATGATAAAGAAAAATGATCAGGAGAGGAGTGAGAAGGACGGTGGGACAAAGGCATCACGCTGCTTGAACACAGACACGAACCAGCACGGTGGCTGCTTCAAGCAGAGTGGACTTGTCAGGCCCTAAAAGTTGAGGGGGCTGAAGTCAAACAACTCCTCTTTTTCTTAAATTTTTTATTTATTGACTTTAGAGAGAGAAAGGTGGGGGGGGGGCATCAACTTACTGTTCCCTTCTTTATGCATTCATTGGTTGCTTCTTTTATGTGCCCTGACTGGGAATGAACCCTGCAACCTCGGCATATTGGGATGATGATGATGATGATGATAACCAGCTGAGCTTCGGCCAGGGCCTGCGACTTCTTTGCTCTCCATCTTTTTTGAGAATCTTGGCGTACTGGCATTGTCCAGGGTGTTGGAGAAGGAGGTGGACAAGGGGGACGTGGCCCTTGCCCTCAGGGAGTGCCCCGTCTGCTGGTAGAGAGAAATCTGTAAACTGACCATGGCAGTCGGGACAAGGTGGGCACCAGACACATAGTCTACAAACTTTTTACAACTGAAATATTAAATCTTTATTAAAATGTAAGACACACCATAAATACCTGAAGAAAACAATGAAAGAAGATGCAACTTTAAATATATTAAAATGTATATTACTCTATAGCGAACCCATACATCAAAATTGAAAGGGATGCCCTGGCTGATGTGGCTCAGTGGAATGAGCGCCAGCCTGTGAACTGAAAGTTTGCTGGTTCAATTCCCAGTCAGTGCACATGCCTGGGTTGCAGGCCGGATCCCCAGTTGGGAGCGTGCAAGAAGCAAGAGGCAGCTGACCAATGTTTCCCTCTCTCCCTCCCTTCCCCTCTCTAAAAATAAATAAATATAACCTTTTTAAAAAACTGAAAGGGATCAACCAATTGAGAAGATATATATTGCAATAGTATAAGCATCTTTAAAATATATGTATAGATGTTTATACATCTGAAAGAAAAGTTAAACATTGAGTGCAAAAAACAACAGATATGAACAAAATAAGATATTTAGAAAATGGTAAGTATGTGTATAAATATATATTTGTAAATTCAACAAATACTTATGATAAGATGTTTAAGTAGTAAATATGTAGAAATTAAATACTTTGTAGGTGAAAATTCAATTAAAATGCAGATGTTGTCTATCAACTGGAAAGAATTTAAAAGAATAGAAATAATGTTGCTGATGAGTATGTTATTTTGTGTACATTTAATTTCAATAACTTAAAACAAATACCAAAAACATATCAACATGTAATAATAAAACAACTTTGATTACAGCTTACATTCAATATTTTGTATTAGTTTCAGGTGTACAGCGTGGTGGTCAGACAGCCACATACTTTGCCAAGTGTGCCCTCCATACTTCCAGTACCCACTTGGTATCATACATAGTTACTGCAATACTACTGACTATTCCCTGTGCTGTATTTTACCTGCCCTTGACTATTTTGTAACTATCAATAACAAACATGTATTGAACACCCACTGTGTGCCAGGCACTGGGAATACAACAGTGAGGTCGACAGAAATCCTTTCAAGGTGCTTACATTCTCATGGGTGGGGAAGAGATGGACAGCAAAAACGCTCAGCATGCTAAATGGTGGTAAGTGTTATGGAAAAATACAAAGCTGGGAAAGGAGTGTTAGGGAGGAGGGTTGCACATTAAACAGGATGATCAGGGGAAGCCTTTTGAAGAAGGTGAATGAAGACCGAAAGGAAGTTCCAGAGTGAGCCACATGGATAATTAGGAGAAGCAGAGAGAACCAGTGCAAGGCCAGAGCGGGGCGGGGTGGGGGTGGTATGTTCAAGGATGGCAAGGACGCCAGCGCAGCCAGATGAGTTAGTAGGGGAGTAACAGAGATGAACTCCGGGCATTGGTAGAGAGGCCTACTTAGGCCATTAAAAGGACTATGGGTTTGAGGGTGAAATGGAAGCCACTAGGGCATTTCAAACAGGAGAGTGACAAGGTCTTGCAGAAGTTTCATGAAGATCACGAGGGCAGAGGGGGAGCCCAGAGCAAGCACACCAGCTGGTCTCGGGGTTAGGGAAGGCTTCCTGGAAGAATGGTTTCTGAGGATCGGTAGACGTTAGTTAGCCGGGCCTTAGACTAAGTGAAGCACTGCGAAGCGTGCTTCGGGCAGAGGAAACATTGAGGACTGGAGCTGACACCCTAGCGGAACTGGGAAGGAAGGAGAGGGCGGACACCGGTGGGGTCCTTGGTGTCTTGGGGGGCTAAACAGGGGAGGCTGACGAGCACGCTCCGGTGTAAAGCAGGGCGGAGCGTCGGGGCTGAGAAGAATCGGCCTTGGAGACCAGAGGGACCGGTGAGAGGTCGTAGGTCCCTGAAGGGCGCCGGAGCCTCTTCCGAAGCGCGAGACTACAACAACCACAAGCCTCAGCGGCTAGAGTTCCTGTGTCGCCAAGTACCGGACCGCAAGGTCACAGGGCCGGGCCCAGCGTCACGTGGTGCTGGCGCGTCACGTGGGCGAGTCAGGTGACGGTGCGGGGCGGACAGACTGACTGCGGGGCAGACGGTGGACGCAGGGACGTGGTTTTTGCTCTGTCCCCACCGACCCGGGCCCCGCCGTCGTTGCCGCCATGACGGGGTTGGCGCTCCTCTACTCCGGGGTCTTCGTGGCCTTCTGGGCCTGCATGATCGTCGTGGGTGAGGCCGGGCCCTGGCGGGCGGGGCCGGCTTCGGGGCCGAGCTGGCCGGTCTGGAGCCCATCGGGGACGTGGGGTCCCGGGAATACTGGGCTCCATTGCGGGCTCTGTACCCCGGGCTCCGGGACTTGCCTCACGCCTCTCGGGGCCTCTGACCCCGACAGAGGAGACGCGAATCTCCAGCTGCTTGAGGAAGGGCGCGGGCGGGGGTATGTGGGGGCCGCGGAAGCAGCCCTGGTCACTTTCTGTCGTCACCGCCTCGCTCTTGTCTCTCGGCTGTCGTCTCTCTTGCTCCAGAGCCGACCTGTCCAGTTCCTCTTTTTTCCCCGGTCCTTTAGCTCCCCCTTGCCCCCGCCCGCGGCTTGTTGGGTAAACCGGCGCAGACTGGGCTGGCGGCATCCGGCGGAGTCTGGTCAGAGGTTCCCTCCTCGCCCTTCCGCCTGGGTGCTCAGTTCTGCGAGTGCCGCCCGGGAAACGTCTCGGTCTGGGAAGGGTGTCATTGAGTGAGACGTTACCGAGGGAGTGGCAGATCGTGGAGGCCCGAGCAGAGGCGTCCGCATAGGCTGCCGTGATTTCCTGGCGGGAGGGGAGGGGACAGCCTGAGAACTGCCTGTTGACTTAGGTGCAGGCAGACCTTTGAGGAGGTAGCCCATCATCAGTTGGGCAGCAACTTCACGTGCCGTTCGGAGCTTCTCTCTCTTTAGAGAGCAGCCCCTAACGCCTTTTTTTCTCACTGCTGCAGGGATCTGCTACACCATTTTTGACTTGGGCTTCCGCTTTGATGTGGCATGGTAAGGGAGGGCACGGTGAGGATTCCCCCAGGAGCTGCCTCTCTGCAGCCTTCCTTCTTTGAGTTGAGCCCCCTCCTCCACCCCATCCCCAGCTGCCTGGGGTGTGGACCTTTGGGAGACATGAAGTCCCTTGTTTGAAGAACCAGCACTGGTGGGGTCGCAGGTGTGGGGGGATGAGTCCACCAAGGCTGAATTGCTTTTGTCCCTGTCTCCACACCAGGTTCTTGACAGAGACTTCCCCCTTCATGTGGTCAAACCTGGGCATTGGCCTGGCTATCTCCCTGTCTGTGGTTGGGGCAGCGTGGTGAGTGTTGGGGTGGTGTGATTGGGGGGTGTGGTGAGTCATGGCAGGCGGTGTCATTGGGTCCTTAGTCACCCTGAGGGCACTGACAAGGTTGACCCCATGCTCATTAGTTTCTTGTCCTTCCAGGGGCATCTATATTACTGGCTCTTCCATCATTGGGGGAGGGGTGAAGGCCCCCAGGATCAAGACCAAGAACTTGGTCAGGTAAGGTAGGGACCCGCTGTCAGCACTGGCCGCGTTGAGAGCTGCCTGGTTGTTTGACCCGACAGTCTCTTCTGACCAGCCCCCTGATGGGGTGGGGTGCTAGCGGGGCAGAGGGGGCTGGGGACTCTGAGGAGGCAGGTTGGTTTCTTTCTCATCTCCTCTTCCTCTCAACCCCCTTTGCCCCCTCCACCAGCATCATCTTCTGCGAGGCCGTGGCTATCTACGGCATCATCATGGCAATCGTCATCAGCAACATGGCGGAGGTGCGGAGGACGGGGGGCTGGGCATCTGTTCCAGCGTGTTACAGACATTGCTTGGGGAAGGCAGAGAGGAGGCTAGAGGGTGGGTTCTGATTGCTTCTCTGCCTCCCTCAGCCTTTCAGTGCCACTGACCCCAAAGCCATCGGCCATCGAAACTATCATGCAGGTAGGTTGGTGCGTAAAGGTAAAAAGCTGGGGTGTCTGCTGTCCCCCTCCCGCTCCCAGTTCAGACGCCTCATTTTGATATTGTCACCTACTTTGCACCGTTGGCTGGTATTGGCCTCA